AGAGAGAGAGAGAGACATTGGTCTCTTTTTTCAGGAGTTCCAAAGCACTATGAAGATAAATGCTATTTATTTCTTTGTAAGGCTCATAAGGTGGGAAAAGGAAAGGGTTAAGCTTTTCCATTACACAGGCAGGAGGGAGATCTGAGGCTCAAAAGGAGTAAATGACTCACGTCACATGGAGCCAGCTTCTGAGATCTAGTAGGTCATGGCCCCCACTGCAATGCAGCTCATCCTCACCTTTCAACATTGGGGTGAGTGGGACCTGTCTGAGCTTTAATTCCATCAGCCTCATTCCCCAGAGTTTCTACAGCTGCTCATCTTGAGAACCTTTGAAGCTTTGGAGAGATCATATGGGTGATTTGACCTTAAATCTCATGCCACTGGCAAAAGATTAATTGCTAAGACCTGGAAAGGGGCCAGTCAATTCTGTGGAACTGGATAACAGCATCATCCAGGGATGTGACTGTCCTGACAGATTTAGTTAGTACGTAATTGATAAATGTAGAGTTTGTACAGCTTCGCTTCACAGACAGATAAGGCAACAGGCTCTGAATAATGACATTTACAGAAGCCCCACCAGTGTTTTGTAACACTGGATCTGGAATTTCTTCCCTCTTACTTAGAGCACAGCTCCTTTCCCAAGGCTGGATTCCCTGCAGGCAATGAGATAAAGATCTAACAAGCTACCACCTGGCTCCCTGTAAGCAAGAATGTTCATCAGTTCAGCGTTGTCATGTGACTTTTAAAATCTTATTTGCTCTGATCCAAGGCAGGCTGAGGTCAAAGAGAGATTCACACGTATTATGTAGCAGCTTGAAACTTTTCAGTGCAATCAGAATCCAAAAAAGATAAAAGGCAGCCAGATGTGACATCAAAGCTTGGATAGCGGTCCTGAACATTGAGTAGGAAATTTTGCACAGCCTGACTCTTGGTTTAGACTCAATGTCATTTAACTCTGGCATGCTCAGAGATACGTCAGTTTTTGTTTACCTGGCTTCAGAGTTGATTATAAGATCTTACTATTTTTGTAGTTCTTCCTTCTCCCTCACTTTTGGCTTTTTGATTCAGGGTCTTATGTAGCTCAGGCTGGCCTCAGACTCATTATGTAGCCAAGGATGACCTTGAACTCTTGACCCTCCTGCTTCCATCCCACAAGCACTTGGGTTGCAGGCATGTGACATCATGCCCAGCTATCTTTCTATAACTTTTGCCTTCTGGTTTCATATTCCAAGCCAGGAGGCCTTTCTGTGTCCTCAATACACACCCTGCAATTCTGTCACTTTGGGTTGTTGAAAATATGACCTAGGAGCTAAGATCAGTAAGTCGACAATTTCATGGTGTACCTTGTTTGTTTCTGGATGGTGGTGTCAAGGTGTGAGGGCCTTTGTTGCCCTCGCAAGAGCCCAGTGACTTGATGCTTAGAACTGTTTTCCTGAACCAGTTGTTACTACTCTCTGAATATAATGTTCCAAAATATTCCTTTTTAATAATCAGGAGGAAAAATCACACTGTGCATAACTGTTTTATCTCATTTGTTGTATAACTTATCACTTTAAGTGCTAAAATTGTTTATAATTGTTTCTAGAAACTTTGTTCCTCTGAGTTAAGTCACTGACTTTGCCTTCTCTCGTTAGATGAATTAGAGAAGTTGGAACAGGAAAGACTGGCACTAGAGACCACTATCAAAGATAACGAATGTGAGGAAGGGAAGGGAGGCATCCGGGGCTTGTTTAAAAAAGCTGGCAAGCTGAACATTACTAAGCCAACCTCTAAAAAAGGTAAGTGCTTTTAAATCATACAAGCAAGAATTGAGGATGAACCCCTAGTTGAACATCTTGAAGAGGTCAGAAACTGGCTTTAAGATATTCAACACTGGGGCTGGAGAGATGACTCAGCGGTTTAAAACACTGGTTGTTCTTGCAGAAGACCCAGGTTCAAATCCCAGCACCCACATGGCAGCTGACAGCTGTCCATAACTCTAGTCCCAGGGGATCGAACAGCCTCTTCTGACCTCCGTGGGCATTGCATGACACGGGTGCACTTACCTACATGCAGAAAATACATGCATACACATAAAATAAAAATAATAAATAAAAATTTTAAAAAAGATATTCAACACTAAGTACAGCAGGACCTGGAAGACTTCTTCAATGGAGGTGGAGTCATTAGGCATATTATATCACCTTACTGCAAAACATTACTTGCAATAATAATTGGTTTAGAAGTGACCTAGTACTTGAACAAATTGAGTGCCTTAAAGTAGAAATGTCTGTTGAGATGGAAAGAGGACAGAAATTTAAGAACCAATCATCCCCAACCTGTCTTATCTGTAGTCTCCTCACCTGGCAGACATGTTGGAGACTAGTGCAAACAGAGGATACAGCTAGAAACCTGTTTCCACAAAAGGCATCTTTATTATAAACCAGAATGATAGACTTAGAACTTCCTTGACATGAATTACTACCTGTAGATTTGGCTGAGTGGTAAGCTTAATCTCTCGGTGTGTGGAAAACATCTCAGGGATGGAGACTCAAAACTTGAGATTATTAAAAGTTCTGTAAACAGGAAGTTTATTTATTTACTTATTTTTGAAAATTGTCTTCTTTCCAAAGTATGTAGGCTCGAGTTTAATGGGGTCCACAGTGACCTCTGCTGGTAGGAAATCAGACTGTGACCATGCAACAATGTCACACTAGTGAGATTAGGGGGAAGATTCTGGGAAACTCCAGTCAAATGGGAAAATCCAAACTGAAGCTTTGCAGGCTTCCGGTCTCAGTTGACAGGAGCCAGATCTTCTAGAAGTTCATTTTTTAACCTGTGAGGAGCTTTATTCTGTTGGCTTGTTCTACTATGTGTAGCCCAAGGGTAAAATTTTACCTGTAAAATGGAAGATGGGAAATACAAATACAGCCGACTTCCCATGCTAGAGACCCTCTCAGGTTCTTGGGTACCTCATAGGCTGTAGGGGAGCTTAGTATTTCACACCAACTTAAAAAAAGATTTCTAAAATGTGTGTGTGTGTGTGTGTGTGTGTGTGTGTGTGTGTGTGTGTGTGTACCTGAGGAGGCCAGGAGAAGATGCCAGATGTCCTGCCTGGAGGTGGAGTTATCAGAGTTTGCGAACCAACTGGCATGTGTGCATGGATGCCAGAAACTGAACTTGGGTTGTCTGGAAGAGCAGCAGGGGCTCTTAACTACTGAGTCATCTCTTCCCACTCACTTTAAAATGGCATAGCTCATGAGAATGATGTATTCGGATATGAGGTTGGAACTGCATCAGGGCTTTCAGGGTATAAAATTAGTAATAAGGAGCCTTCATAACGGCTCATCAGGAAAGGTGCTTGCCACCAGGCCAGACAACCTGAGTTCCACCCCCCAGGACCCACATAGTAGGTAGAAGGTAGAAGGAGAGAATAAATTTCCACAAGTAGTTGTCCTCTGACCACACATGTACCATGGTGCATACACACACACACACACACACACACACACACACACACACACACACTAAATACATAAATAAATATAAAAACCTTGATTGGCAATAAGATTTTTTATTTTATTTTATTTATTTATTTATTTTTTATTTTGAGACAGGGCCTCTTGGTAGCCCCAGCTAGCAAGGAACTCACTATGTAGACCAGGCTGGCCTTTATCTCACAAAAATCCATCTGCTTCTGCCTCTAGAGTGCTGGAATTAAAGACATGCGCTACCACATCCAGTTTTGACAATACAATTTTTAAAAATTTTTTATTTTCCTGTTATTTGGCTTATTTGTAACTCTAATGTCTATGAAGTGATACAGTCTGGAAAATCAATGGAAAATTCAAAATCAAAGCTTATCATTGTCCTCTCTGTAACCAGGAGAGAGAGGGCTTGTTCACTCTGGGAGCCTGTTTCCACATCTCAGCACATTTTTGGTAAAAATGTACTTTTCTGAAAGTCAATATATCTTGGCATTCAGAAAAGTAAAATCATAATACTGTGTACTTTAAATACCTAAGAGTTCAAACAAAGCTCTACAGTAGGCCCATCCCATACCTGGGCTTTAGGTGGATGACAACTCTTTTGAGCTCTAGATCAAGCTCAAGCCTGCAGGCACTCCTAATGACTCCTTCAGACACTTTGATTCGCACGTAAGTGAGGGCAGAGTTTGGTCCATTTTGCAAATAAATTTACTTTCTTCCTTAGCAGTCCTAAGGACATGGAAACAATGTGAGATAGTTGCTTCAGTACTGACAGGCCCCAAACACAGAAACAGAGAAAGACAGAACAAAGCATCCTCAGAACCTGCTAGATCAGAGCCGAAGCTCTGAAGAGCTGTCAGCTCTGCATTGAGCACTGCACTGGCACTGCATCTGAAACACAGCCACAAGTCACAACTTTCAAAGGCAAGGAAATTAGAAGCGATATAGGGGAACCCTATATTGATGGGGTCCTGATGGGGTCCTGCTCAGAAAAGGACCTGGTTCCTTGGCCCCTCTTCCCTGTGTCCATGTCAGAGTAATAATACATTATTAAGCACTTTTAGGCATTTTATATGCATCTTAATTAAAACTCAACTAAAGAGCTTTTCTTTTTAAGAATATTTTATTATTTTTATTTTATGTGTATGAGCATATTGCCTGCATGTATGTGAGTGCACCCGTATTGTGCAATGCCACGGAGGTCAGAAGAGGGCTTTGGATTCCCCTGGAACTGGAGTTAAGGATGGTTCGTAGCTGCCATGTG